AGCCCCCCCCCCGAACCCCCCCCCCCCCTCTCCCTCCCACTACACATGAGCATATCCGTGTGGATGGATGGATGGATGGATGTCAGGACGGTGAACCACGTGACGCATTCGACAGAGGAGGAGGTGCGTCTGTTGCGTGAGAGGTGCGCCACCCTGCAGACCCAGGTGGACCGGTCGCTGCCCGCTGCACCCTGGAGCGGCGCCATGATGAACGAGACCATGAAGGAGATGGAGAGGAAGCTCGAACGATATCACGAGCTCACCAGTGAGTGCTGCAGAGGAGTGGGTGGGTGGGTGAATTGGTGAGTGTCCTCACTGTGTGTGTGGTGGGTGTGTGTGTGTGTGTGTGCAGACTGCTGTGCGTGCATGGAGGCGCCGCGTGAGATCGCTCTGGGGTGCGGGCATCTCTGCTACTGGTACGGGAAGCGAGCTGGCAACAATTGGGCAGGCAGACACACACATGGCCAAGAGTGTGTGTGTGTGTGTGTGTGCGTGTGTGTGCAGCCAGGAGTGTTTCGACAAGGTGCAGCAGCAGCCGGCCACCGAGCGCATGTGCCCCCATTGCCGGGCGTCCGAGAACCTCAGGAAGGTCTTCACCAACCACCGCAAAATATTCATCACATAGCAAGCACAGCCGCCGTCGCCTCAGGGCAACCTGCCGGCCACACGGCCTGGACACGGCCATAGCGCGGGAAGGTGTGTGGTGTGAAAGGCTCTGGGTGTGCTATAGAGTGTACCCATGGTGTGTAGAAGCAGACAGTACAGTACACACATAACATACCTACCATTGCCTGCTGATATCTGCAGGCAGGTATCGCCATCCATCTCATAGATCACCCATGAGTGTATGACGTTACTTACCGCATTCATGTCATGTGAGAGGGGGCGGGGGTGGGAGGGGGGATAATTAGCCCATGGATGAAGGGGGGGAAGAGAGAGAGAGAGAGGAAAGACAGAGGAGAGGGGCTCGCCCTTTTTCCAGCGGGCCATTCATGTTTATTTCACGATGTGTAATGTCTCAAGAATTGGTTTTGAGTGCGTTGGGGGCGGCCCAACACGCGGATGAGACTATCACCTCGGTCCCATTCTCGACCGCTGTGGTTGTGTTGTTTTACCCCCCAATGCGCCCTCACGACAGCCGGATGTGCCCTGACGAAAAGATCCACTCAGGAAGGGGAACCCGCACATAAAGCGATATTGCTCGTGTGAGTGTGTGTGTGTGTCTTCGTGGGTTTATATATATCTTTTTTTGAGGTCCGGTCGCTCTCCTCGCCTGCCGTCGGATCTCGGCGATACAGCCATTGCGAGTCGAGCTTCGACTTGCACTGGCTGTGACGCCTCGTCGCAGACGGGGAGGGAAATTTCGGCCAGCAGCCCACGGGCGGCAGCCATTCATGCATGTGGTGAAGGCGCTGCTGCTGCTGATATTGCTGTAGCTAGGTGGCGCGCTGCATCCATCGATCTACTTGGTGTGTACCACAACACTGCGTAGCGCATCCAGCGACCTACGCTCCTTTATATCTATCTATCCATCTGGCTGCTGCGATGCATCGATATGATGACCGCATCCACGGTCGGTTGGTTGTTGTTTTTGCTGGTTTTGCTGCCTTTGATTGATGTGATGCCTGCCTAACTTTGCCGAGCCTCCCCTTCTCGCATCGATGTTGGGGCGGCCATCTAATCTACGTATGTGTGTGTATTCGGTGTGTGGACAGCGTGTAGATGGCTGTGTGTAGAATACAACGAACGAGCTGATGGATGTATCTATGTGATGCATGGCTGTAATTCGACGGGTTAAGGGACGGAGGGAGGGAGGGAGGGAGGGTCTTGTTTGCTCGCTGGTCGGCTGGTCGGGCAAGAGGGCAAGGGACGTGTCGACACACCTTCTGCTAATATCGGACCGGCCTTACTTCGCTGCGTTGTATATCTTCATCTAACGGGCCGAGTAGATCGCAAAACGACCTGTCCCCTCTCTCGCTCTTCTCTTTTCCCTCTCTCGTCAACATGCCCCATCCGCAATCGCACACCCTCATCGATGATGAGCTCTTCCCCTCACTCATCGACCTCGAAGAGAGAAATGTGAAACGAGATCACCATCACGGCGACGGAAAGAGGAGGCGTGCCAGCTCTCTGGCGCGCGAGGAGGGGCAGCGGGATGGGCACCTCGTCAAGAACACCTCCCTCAGGTCATTTTTCACCAGAGAAGGCCGGGCCCTCAACCAATTCACGTTCGGCCAAGTGAGCTGTCAGCGAAGGGGGGATCATGCCATTAGGTGTGTTCACCTGCATGTGTGTGTTTTCTCTGTCATGCAGGCCCTGTTGCTGCACGCCGAACACGCTCCCTCTCCCCCCACCGACGTGTTCCCCTCCGTTGCTGCAAAGGAGAAGGCGAAGCGTGCGGCCATCCGTCGAGTGGATGTGAGTGCGCGTCTGCCGTCAGAGGGGCGTGGGCGCGATGTGGCGAGGGAGTACGAGCGGCCCGTCATGCAAAGAAAGCTGCAGGTGATACTGTGTGTCTTCAAAGTTGTGTGTTGAGTTGAAGGCATCGATGGATGAATGGGTGCGTCGTCAGGTGTTGTTTCGCGAAATTGGTCCGTGTTTCCGCTCCCATCTGCCGCCATACGTTGAGGCCGAGACCCTCCTCTCCCCCATGCACCACCAGCAGCAACCGACATCGGATGCTATTAGCGATGTCTCCGACCACTCGGAGCCTCCAACACGTACACACACATGGACACGAACACACACGTACACGTACGATTGTGGCATCTCTTTCGACACCCGCAGACGTCCCCGTTCTGTCGGCCTCTCATCGGTATGAGCTGTATCGCGTGTTGAGTCTGTACAACGCCTTGGTGGGGTGGCGGAGCGACGCCTCGATCATCCGGTCGACCTTTGTGAGGTTCGCCATCGACACACAGCTGGCCGAGCTGACTCACCTGCCACTCTGCGTGATCGTCAAGTGCTTCGACCAGGTACACCACACAGACATGACACTCACATAGAGACACAGGCATGCACGAGCATGTGCCCTCCCTCGCCCTGTCAGATGGCATCTGAGGTCTCTCAAGCAACGACAGCAACATCACAGTTCCCCTCCCTGCCGACACACAGGTTTGTGTCTCTCGTGGCGCTGCTGCTCGCTACCTCCCACGACGACGCCTATGATGACGCGACCACAAAAAGTGCCGCAAGTTTCTTCGGCAATGCGTTGCCGCGGGCGGCCAGGGCGCTGCCACTCAAGGCTCTAAAGGAGACTTCTGCACCTGATTTCAGCAGAGAGAGAGACAAGACGAAAACCGATGATGGAAAGGTATGTAGGGACACACACCGCCCATCACGCAGAGGGAGACATCTCTCCCTCTCTCTCTCTTCGTGTGTCTGTGCGTGTGTGTGTGTGTGTGTGTCAGCCCATCAGATCAGCGGCATTGTCCAGCGGTCGGTCTCGGTCCAACACACTGAGCAGAGCCCCGTCGACACGTGCGACGCGGACAAAGGACGACGTGACACAGACACATCCGCGGCAGGCGACAAAAGACACAAGAGACAATAGAGACACGGCAGCCATCGTCGCCGCTCGATCACGTGCCCACTGGGACACCGCATACCGAAAAGTGACCAAATCGGTCGCGGTCGCCCGTCATTGGCGGGCGACGACGCGAGACACGACAGCACAGTCCTTCAGCCACCTGCCCGCTTTGCACCGCCCTCCCAACCGTCTCACAGCCCCACCCGCCCCAGGCACTGTGTCGTCCCCTTCTCTGAGTGCGGCTACCAAACAGAGAACCAGCAAGAAGCAAATGACAGCCGAAAAAGTCGAAAAGCCCACCCCCAGCAAAAGGGAGACCAGACGAGCGACGGAAGCAGCAGCAGCGGCAGCGGCAGGAGGGCTGGGACATGGTCATCGGTACCAGCAGCAGAGGAGAGGCAGCATTGGTCTCAGCGAAGTGTCCGACTGGGAGACGTCGCTGAGATGGAGGCTGCAGCCGGCGCCGCCGTCCGTCCCTGTGTCGGTGGTAGAATCCGCACCACCTGTGCCCCTGCCTGTGGTGGTGAAGCCCAAGAAGGAGACGAGAGTCGTGGTCGACGCACAGGCGGCCGGACCTGTCAAGGACAAAAAGGAGCAGCCGAGGCCCTCCGCGCAGCGCGACAGCCTCCTGGCCACATCAGAGGTGAGAACATCACAGAGAGACACAAAAATGGACGTCTTTCTTGATGCCGCCCAGGCCTATCGCGCGATGCAAGTGGCTTTGTCGAATCGTCTGGTCGAGCCGGAGGTCAGCCACTTGATCCACATCCACCTGCCCCTCTGGTGGCAGCTATTTGCAGCATACGCCACCAACCACACCGCAGCATCAGACCTCGTGGCCAGCGGGTGGACACTCGTCAGCGGGCCGAACTGGCACACACACATCGACAGATGGCGTGCAGCTGGAAATGAGCAAGACATGGACGACATGTGAGCGATCAGCACCCATGTGGATCGATCAGTGAATGACCGTGGAGTGCGTTCGTGCCATTTCTGCCTTCAGGTCACCATTCCCTTTCATGTCTCTGCCAAGGTTCCTCCGATTCTGTCAAGACTTCGCCCTGACCTCCGCCCTGCTGCCCCTCTCGATGGCCAAGCGGATCCACAAACACGCCGTCTGTCTGGACGCCTACCGATTGCAATCATATAGCGGAGGCAGACACAAGCGCACAACTACATATGCACAGCCGCAGGCCACTGAGACGGACACACGGCGGAAGAGTTCACACACAGCGGCTGGGCCGAGGAGGGCCAGCACAACCGATGAGGGCGGGAGGGCGAGACGGCGGAGGACCACTGTGGCGAGCAAGGAGACGCGAAGCGAGAAGGAGAGCGAGCGGCTGGTGAAGCTTTGGGGGCTGGCGGCGTTTGTGGAGAGCCTCTTTCGTCTCGTCTTTGCATATCTCACCTACTACACGTATGTAAGTCGTGAGTGGACAGACCACCCGACAGCTGCACGGACGTGTATCCTCCCTCTCTGTCTCTCTGTCTGTCACATACCTTACAGGTCATCAGAACACGCCATCTGCTCCTCATTCGCCAAGTCGGTGTGGCTGCTAACCTACATTAAGGCTCGCCTCGAGGTCCTTTCCCATCACCAGCATCAGCAGCACATCAGCCGATCCCCCTCGCCGTGCCCGTCGCCCCCTCCCCTCTCGCTCTCCTCTCTGCGATCGAGTCGGAGCCCCTCCCCTGAACCTTGCCTGGCAGAGTACTTCTCGCCGCACAGAGACACGCCTGTCAGCAGAGTGACAGAGGCGGGACGAGACCGAGAGCGAGAGCAGGGCGCTTGGCGGCGGCTCGTGGGGAGAGACAAGGAGGAGACGGCGGCTCCTTGTCTTGATACATTGGATATGGACGCGCTGCACGAGAGGTGGGATGAAATATCTGTGCTGGTCAAGGAACAATCTGCGCTTAAGTCGATCTGCAGCATTAAGGTACGTAGAAATGTGAAGTGGGCCTTCTACCTTCTGTCTGTGTCTCTATGTCTCTGTGTCTGCAGGGACAGGCGAGCGGCTCGATGGATCGTTTATCTCCCATTCCCCCGCTCCGGCCCTTCCTGCTCCGTCCGCAGACAGGCGTCCTTCACGACCTGCTTCCTGCCGATGAACACCTGCTGGCCCACCTCTTCCTCCCGCCCCCGTTCTCTCGAGCGATAACAACAGCACAGACACCGGAGCACGTCTCTGTGCCGGTGACTAGTGTGCAGACATCAGGAGCTGGGCCTCAGGGTGGCAGCAGCCACTGTAAGCGTCGACAGGGTGTGTTTGGGGGTGAATCGGATGTGTTCATGACGCTGGGAGGCGAGTCGCCGACCACGAGAGCTAGGAGAAGACGGAAGCGTCAATTAAGTCCGTTCTTGAGTACGCCAAGTAAGACGTAGTGGGAGATTTTGGCCTGGAGCTGCGTCTGTGGTTCATGTGTCTTCCTGCAAACAATATGGAGTGACGCATTACTTTTCCCGAATTCTCGACAGTCAACTATCCCCTTTCACCCGATCCTTTCCCCCCTGGATCTGCAGCGAATCCCCATGCCGGTGACAGCAGATCTCGAGCAGCCATCGTCCCTGCTGCCCCTCCTCGCTGGCGCCACCGCCGGCGTCGTCTGCCTTATCGGCCTCGAGGAGGTGCTCCGCCTGCAGCGCAAGAAGGCCGCCAATGCATCATCGAGTGTCGAGGGCAAGCAAGGTGGCCGGCCGGACGCCCTGCGCCAGGTCACGCCAGAGGAGAAGGCCAAGCTGCGCGAGGTGCCTTGTGTGAAGCTCACACCGATGGAGGCATTTGATGCGCTGCGCTCGGGGAAAGACCCGCACCTGTAAGTAGTCAGACAGCATGGATGCCAACATCATCACACCTGTGCACACAGGCAACTGACTGACCGTATGCATGGCGTGTGTGTGTGTGTGTCAGGCACGAGAAGTGGCGTGACGAGCTCGGCAGCGACGTCTTCTATGTGCAGCTGCCCGTCGGCAAGCGCATGTATATCTGCACCGACACGTCCTGCTGGGACACACTGTTAGGACCCGATGGCCTCGAGAAATCCCACATGTACCAGATGTTCGACCTGTTCGGGGAAGGCCAGATGACGCGCACGCGGAGCATCATTTCGCGCAAGACCAGCGGAGAGGGGTGGCACGCCATCAGAAAGGCCCTCGCCCCTGCCTTCTCGTACGCACGGCATGCATGTGGCCACACTGACTGTCTGATACACAGACAGACAGACACAGATGGGAACGCATAATGGGCTGGCTGCATTCTTTGCATGTGCCTGCCTGCCTGTTTGGTATGTTGATTGGCTCGTTCAGGAACAAGACCTTGGTGGCCAAGACGCCTATCTACCACCGAGTGCTGGGGAGCTTCGTCAAGGCCCTCGACGACGCTGCCGACAAAGGGACGATCGTCAACATGCCCGAGTGGGGGCTGCGCTACACCATCGACATGATCGGGGAGGTGGCATACAAGTACATACCCACACACGACACACCACACCCACACACGCACAGCCTCGATCAACACACACACATTGGCTCGGGTCATGTGTCGATGGTCTGTGTGTGTGTGTGTGTGTGTGTCAGTTACAAGTTTCACGCGTTTGACGACGAGCGCAACGGCGAGGCCAAGGCCCTCCTGCGCGCCATTGATGTGATATTCCGTGAGACCCGTTACTCGGCCATAAACCCATTTCGGTGCGCCAACCGCACCTCACCCACCCACCCACCCACCCACTGTGTGTGTGTGTGTGTGTTTGCATGCGTCCTTCCTCTGTGTGTGTGTGTGTGTGTGTGCAGTCCTTACATGGTCTGGAAGGACCAAGTCCGCGAGTATTACCAGTCCATCCGCCTGTTCCGTGACGTGTGCCGCAAGATCTACCGCCAGTTTCTCGACACACCAGCAGACAAACAAGACGTCAGTGAGTAGTGAGGTTTAGCGCTGCGCTGCGCTGCGCTGCCAATCACACGCAGCGGGTGGATGGATGTGTGTCGTCGGTGTGGTGTGTTATGTGCGCAGGCCACGTCGATCATGTCGTACATCCACAACAATCCTGGCTACCAATCTGAGTTCGAGAAGCTGTGCGATATCTACAACCTCCTCTGGGCCGGGTGGGTGGGTGGGCACCACACACACGCACACACACACACACACACATGCACTCAAATGAATGCATCCACCATGGTGCCGTGGTGTGTGCGTTGTGTCTGTCCATCTGTCCATCCATCCATCGGAAAAGCCATGACACGACTGGCTATACCATTTCATGGGCTGTCTATCACTTGTCCAGCAATCCCCGTGTGCTCAAGAAGCTCCAACAGGTAGGTCAAAACACACACATACAAATATACACACACGCGCGGCAGACAGACAGAGCGACCCCCACAAGCAAATGAGATGCAGGCCTCGATGCGCTCCTTCGTTGTGTGTTGAGTGCAGGAGCTGGATGCGGCCAAGTTCGCGGAGGAGCTTCCCTCCTACGACGAGCTGGCCCAGCTGCCCTACTTCAACGCCTGTGTCAAAGAAATCATGCGCATGTCAGTGACCAACCAACCACAAGACACACCGAGATCCATCCACCCCTACTCTCTCTCTCTCTTTCTGTGTATGTGTGTCTGTGTGTGTGTGTGTGCAGCTCTCCCGCCGTGAGCAACGGCACCCGACGGCAGACAGAGAGCGGCTTCAAGGTCACCTCTCGCGGCGTGGGCTACTGGATCCCGGGCGGCTACCAGATGCTCGTGCCGTTGTTCGCCCGACTCAGAGACGACCGAATGTATCCTATGCTAGCGACCGAGCAGACACACGCATCAAGGAAACAAGTGCTTTGTCCACTGCGACCCCTTCCTGCCGTGTGTGTGTGTGGTGGCCGTAGTTGGGGCGATGGCAAGGTGTTTCGTCCAGAGCGATGGCTGGAGGCCTCCGAGGAGCAGCTCAAGGTCTACAACAAACTCTTCCAGCCCTTCAGCATCGCTCCAAGATCTTGGTGAGATCAGGCGACGACCTTACACACCACATCTCTCTCTCTCTCGTCCACTTGTTCGTGCAATGCGTGCAGCATTGCCCAACACCTGGCGCTGATTGAGGTAACCCAGCACAGCAGGGGGCAACCGCTGCACACACACACAGAATGAAATGGAAGCGGTGTGGTGTGTGGTCTTCTTCTCTGTGGCTCTTCAGGTCCGCATGACAATCGCGGCGCTGTTCAAGCGCTACGAGTTCGAGATCACGACCGAGCCGGAGTTTTTCTACTCAATCACGTGAGCGACTCACTCACACAATGTGCCCTTCATTCCTGCGTGTTGTGTTGTGTGTGTCCTTCCTCGTGTCTGTCGTGTCTGTGTGTGCAGCTACAAGCCCAGAGGCCTCATGGTCAAGCCCATCAAGCGATCATGAGCCGACACAAACCAAACCAAAGCCACACCTGCAGCAGAAGGTTGCAGACAGATGAGAGAGATAGGTTTTTCTACGGAGCGTCGACGTACCTACCTGTGTCGCGTGTCGCGTGCAGTGCATGCTGCAGTTTTCGATCGCTGCGATGCCTCGGTTTTGTAGTTTAAACCATCGATGTGTGTGCGTGAGCGCGATGAACGGATGTCGTTTTTGTCACTCGCCGCCCCTCGTTCGATCGGCATGCCTCCCAGCCGTCCTCTCCCCGTAGTGATCGGTTTTATGCGTTTTTCCGGCTGACTTCTTTCTCCTCCTGAGAAGAAATGCCTCTCCGTCTGTCTGTCTGTCGTTGCCTGCGGTGCCTGTCTGAATGCCTCAGTGTGTGTGTGTCTGTGTGTGTCTGTGTGTGGGTGCGGGTGTTTTTGCCATCTCAAGTGCCGCCCTCGCTGGTCAATCAGAGCAGCGGCACTCCTGTGGTGGGTGGGACGCATCCATCGGAGGTGTTTGTGGCTCCGACAGATCGATGGAGGACAACTGTGGCCTGCCTGCCTGCCTGCCTGCCTGGCCGTGTGCCTGTCAATGTGACAGAGAGAGTGCATCTTCTCTTGGTGCCGTGATGGTCATGGTGGTCATGACCGGCGGAAGCGCAACGGCCAAGTACATCGTTGCATGAGACTGTGGGTGGACACACATCGCAGCATTCATAGTTGAATCCCCATGCGCACGCTGAGCTAGCTGCACTCCGTCTTTCGACCGATCCAACACCAACGACAGACAGGCAGGCAATCTATTGAATGAGCCACAGGTCAGGCAACCAACCGTCTGTCAGTCAGGCTGACACACACAAACCACAACACACCAGCCAGCCGGCCTACGCAAACTTCATTGCCAGCAGCAAGATGCACACAGACACACCCACAGACACACAGACACAAACACACGCCTACCAGCTTATTTATGCTGCACTTATTCAGATCTCTGGCCGACCACCCGTCCGTCCGCCAGTCGCCTGGCTGGCTGGGTGGTGCGGCAGCTCACTCCCACACCTAACTCAGCAAGGAGGGCCTCCAGCTCCCTCTCGACGTCCCTTTCTCTCTCTCCTTGCTTTGCTCCCTCATCCCCCGCCCTCTCTCGGGTCTCCTTCTCCCCCTCGTTGAGGCACCAAACCAGGAAATCGACGACCTCCTGCGGCTCCCTGGGGAGAAAGAACCTCTTGATCTTCTCGACCTTGCCCGTGCTGCGGTGGTGCTTGTAGAAGAACCAATGGCTGGTGCCGACGGTGGTGGCGCCGTAAGGCATGTCTTCAACGGGAAGCTGCGCTTCAATGAATTTCCGGCCCGACATGTTGGGATCTCTGCCAAAGACGAGGAGGAATGTGTGGCCGCCTGAGGGCTCTGCTTGTCTGCCGTCCTTCTCGATGATGAAGTGCTTGAAGCGGTGGCCATATGGGTCGTGCTCGAGCCAAATGCGGATGCGCCGGCCGCTCAGCCTCATGACCTCCATCAAGAGGGGCCACACGTAAAACAGCAGATTCATGTCGTCCTGCTCCCCTTTATACGAAAACATCTTCCTGATGACATGATGACACACACGCACACCGTGACACACACGCGCACACATCCGCTCGTTGGCTTGGCGAGTGTGTGTGTGTGTGTGTGTGTACTTGATGCTGAGGCTCCAGTCGTTTTGCCAAAACTTCCACTCATTCAGGAAAGCATCCGATAGCGTCAGGTTGGGCAGCGGGCCACGCTGCGGCTGCCGGGAGGGAGACGGAGCCTCTGCGTCAGGGGCCACCACGTCGGGGGCTGTGTCCATGCCACCATCAGGCGCACTCAAGGCTGCACAACACACACACCACACACAGACACACTGAGTCAGATAGAGCCGCCGATCTCGCGTTCTTTGTCATCGCACACCGCGCTGATGTGTGTTGCTACACCATCGAGATCTTCTTTCCACCTTATTACGTGTCGGCGACCTCTGCCCCGAGGCAGAAACAGGGCGGGACCCTCGATGAAGACCGTGTCCGCTCTGTGGCCAAGGGTGTTGGCCGCAAACAGAGCACGCAGCAACAGAAGCAACACCAGCGCCATCGCGATCCAGCGACAGCAGCAGCGGTTTCAGGGAGCGCCTGGCGGCCAAGTCCCCTGTCGGTCTGTCCAACACGATCCAGCGATGAATGCGAGCTTAGATGTGCGAAGAGGGAGGACGCGCAAGCGCAGCAGAGAGCAGGAGCGCCACACGAGCAGCCAGAAGCATCGAGAATGTCAAACAAGCTAACATCTCTGTGTGTCTGTCTGTCTGTCTGTCAGAAGGGCGCCTACTTGCCGTCAGACACTGAGGAGATGAACGCACTGAGGTACCCTCCCCTCCACACACACACACACACACACACATCACACACACAGATGCTCGTGTGTGTCGTGTGTGGTATTTCTGCTTGCAGACAGCAGCTGCAGGAAGCCGGGCAGAGCAATGACGCGCTCAGGTACGCACACACAGATCCATCCATCCATCCATCCATCTATCCATCCATGCGGACATCCTTCTCTCCCTCTGTGTGTGCAGTTGACGTCGTGCAGACAGCAGCTAGAGATCGCACTCAAGGAGAAGGCAGAAACTGACCAGAGGTAAGTACGAAGCTCTCCCTCATCCAGCCCTCACCCCTTCCCACACCCACACCCCTCCCTCTCCCTCTCTTGTGTGCGTATACGTGTGTGTGTGTGATGATCCATCAGTCTGTCAACCGTGCGTGAGACCCTCACCGCCCTGCAGGCGGTCCATGAAGCTCTCGAAGCCGAGCACTCGCGTGTCACGACCGCCGCTGACAATACGAACACCGATGCGAGCAGCCCCAGCAGCAGTGCTAGCTAGCACCGACCCAAAGTAAGTGGGTGCTGCTGCCAGTGTGTGTGTGTGTGTGTGGATGTGTCGATCAGCCTCACTCTGGAGCACTGCAGCTCGTTGAGCTCGGCACTGCAGCTCGTTGAGCTCGGTGACGGCCGTCATGAAGCTCTCTGGACAGATCGATGAGGAGGTCACCCGCCTGAACGCCGTCAAGAATGTAATGTACCCAACACTCCATCCACCCACCCATCCAGCGAAGAAGCGGGCATCCACCTTGCGGCGCGGGGATGTGTGTGTTGATGTGTTTGCCAGGCCGCCATGAAGCGCATAGCCGACCTCCACACGGAGGCCGAGGTGCGCAGCCATGCCTTCGTGACACCCAACACCCAACACCGTACTACACTCGTGTGTGAGTCGTCTGTATCTGTGTGTCTGTGTGTGTCACCGAAACGCCGAAGTAGCGTGTGAGCATCTGAACGACGGCAAGCTCGAGTGCGTCATCTGCTGGAAGGCCGCCACGACACACGCAGTCATTCCCTGCGGACACCGGGTACGTATGTCTTTACATACCCACACACAACACACCACACCACACACATCTATCTCTCTGCCTCCCTCTCTTCCTCTCTCCCTCTGTGTGTGTGCACGTGCGTGTCCAGGAGTTGTGTGCCAATTATGTGCTGAAGATGCTCGCCGAACAGAGATTCGCGCAGGTGCCCCCCATGCCGACAGCCCTTCACCGACATCAGGCGCATCTTCATCACCTGACCCTGACACATGAGGATACAGACACACAAACACCCATACCCCCATCCACCCACCGTAGGGGAGGAAGGGAGGGGACTGGAGGGAGGGAGGGAGGGAGGGATGGTTGATGTGTGCATATGTGTGTATACATGGCTGGCAGTCGGTGCTGTGCGTGTGTGAAGGGGTGGGAGGGTGGGGTGGGTGAGGTGCGTGTGCGTGGACGATCTTTCGTGTTTGTTTCCCCACTGGTACGCGCACACACACATACCTAGCTCGATGGCCGGCGGGCCGGTGGTTTGTTGACTGGGAGGGAGGAGATGCAGTTTGGCTGTCTGTTCGGGGTTGTTTTCGTACGTCTGTGTGGATCGTCATGATACTGGCAGACGAAGGAGTATTGAATGAATGGGGTGGTAAGGAAGAAGATGGTGAGTGAGATCCATACAGAAAATTCTCAAACAGAGAGCTACACGTGTGATCCATCCGACCCTCTGTCTGTCAAGCTACCATCGCTTACCCACCCCGTCTGTGTTGGAGAAGTGTGCGGGCCACCGCACTCACTCAGGCACACTACAAACTAATGCATGGTTCCTTTGGCGGGCAGGCAGGTGCACGATGTATGTTACAATATAGTATATGTCCACATACACACACAATGACGGACCGACCGACAGCCGCTCGCACACTGACATACACACCTCCATCGCACACACTCTCTCTCTCTCTGTCTGTCTGTCTGTCTGTCTGTCTGTCGTTGTGCGCTTCCTTTCGGTGAATGGTGAGCGGTGGCGGCAAGGAGTCTACTCGCCCTTTGCAATGACGTCGCTGAGTCGTGCGCCAGGAACGAGACTCCCCGCCAGCATGATGATCTCCGGATCGAACTTGATGATATTGTCGTTCTCTGTGTGGAAAACCACAAAGGTACACAGGGAGATAACAAGCGCAGGTGTGTCTGCACTTGTGTGAGTGTGTGCGTGCGTGCGTGTATGCCTCCTTTTTCTGCGACAGACGCCACCATGTCTAGGTCTAACACACCGACACACACACACCGACACACAAATGCGCACACAAGGTGACCCCCGTCAATGAATGTGCCGTCTGGTGAGCGACTTCTTTATAGAGCAGCAGATCGAATCGCTTCTTTTCCATCGCATCTTCGTACTGTATGTACGCCTTCAGCAGCTCAACAGCTTCAGACCTGCATCCTCACACACACAGCAGTTAATCAACTTGGATTCCATGTTTGTCCCTCTTTGTACCCCTTTTGCCGCGCCATGGCAACCACTTTGGCATGTTGCTCCACCAGAGGCGCAAGCTCCTTCCCAATTCTGGCCACCTCCTTCTGAATAAGAGGGGGAAACTGTTATTAACCGTAACACTCGTCTGTGTGTCCGTGATACTCATACAAATACAGTCCCATCAGCATGCAGAGTCAAACAGGCTCAAGGGGAGGAGGGATCAATCCCCGCCCCATCAGCACACCCCAGTCCCGCAAACCCTCCCCTCCCTCCCCCACGCAGACAGAAGCTAGTCGCACGCGCGAGGGCGATAGACAAGCGAGAGCGAATCC